ATACGTAATGTGGGTTCCAGACTGATGAGCTGTATTCAAGTATTGGTCTAGCAAATGTTTTGTATGCTCTTGTTAGTAGTGTGATATTACCGGAGAAAAGACTACACAGGATTAGGCTCCCGTACAGGATCTGTGGATCTCTCCAGAATCTGCTGCTCTAGGAGCTCTTCCCCCCCGCAAATGTAAAGTGCTTTGGAACCGCATCCTGAAATAATTCCATGATTCCATAGTTGGGTGGGTTCTTATGCGCCTAACACAACAATGAATTTTCTATGCTCGTTATGAGTCACACATGTTGTTTCTTGAAATTACATTTCAGTTATTGAACATATTAAAAAGCGAGTAAACTCCATGCACTTAAGCTAGAAGAGGGGTGCAAAGGCAGACAGGGTTTTAAGATGGGCAGCTATATGAATGTTTTCAATAAATACAGGGAGTCCTTGATTTACGACCACAAACGAGCCCAAATTTCCACTGTTAAGTGAGACCGTTGTTGAGTGAATGCTGTCCCATTTTAAGAGCTTTCTTGCTATTAAGTGAATCACTGCAGCTGTTCAGTTGTTAACACAGTTGCTAAGCAAATCGGACTTCCCTATTGACTGCTTGTCAGAAGGTGGCAGTGTTGTGGATTGCTGGCAGCCTGTGCAGACAGCAGCGGAATTGGACGGTGGGGAAGAAAGGGGACCAGTCAGGGAATCTGGAGAGGACTCGAATGAGGGTCCTGCATCCGATGCAGAGATAGGGCCAGGGCCATCTGGGAGTGGGGTGCTGACTCCAGAGCCTCCAGAACTGACAGTAGCAAGGAAGAGGAATAAGGGGAACCTGTTCCCAGTGCGCGTGTGCGCAGAGCTGCCAGAAAGCGAGAGCAGCTGAAACAAAAAGGCAACTTGGGAGTAAGACTGGGAAGTGATTGCCCCTCCCATCAGGTATAAAGGACAGGCAAAGGTGAAGAAACCTTTGCAGGAGGCAAAGTCATTTGTTCAGTTCAGACTCATTCTTGAAGCTCTTTGTACTTCGGTTGGTTTTTTTTTTTCCTAGTTCATTGGACACTTCTGTTATTGGCAGCACTTCACAGAAAAGAAAGGTGGGTGCTTATCTCGGGGGACTGTTTGAGATTCATTACCGGCTGGAAATGAAAATAATTCCCAGCGTTGCAATAAAACAAGTCTTGTTTTTAAAATAAGCATGTGCGTAATTACAGTTTAGGAAGCCTTGGTCAGAACAGTGGCAAAAGGGGACCCCATGACCCCGGGACGCTGCAACCATCATAAGTACATGCCAGTTGCCAAGCGTCTGCATTTTGATCACACAGCCATGGGGCCATGCAACTGTTGTACGTGAAAAACAATCATCAGGTTTGTTTTTTTTCAGTGCCATTCCACTGTCAAAATAGTCGCTAAACAAATACTGGCAAGTCTACCTGCGCATAGAATGACAAGCCCTACCATGGGTACCATTTTATGAGATCACCCCCCCAACATTTCCTGGGCCCATCAACCCCAAAAAAGATTACTTCCACATGCAAACCAGGTTGCTGGTGATTCCAGCCTTGCGTTCCTCGTGTCGGGGATCATCTGGGCTTGGTCATATAACCTCACCGGTTATGGAAAAACCATGGTTGGCCTCTTGACTCCTATCCAACATAGGCTCCTTAACCAGGTCAATGGCTAACCGTGATGCCCGTTGTCCAATCCAGACCAACCACCTGTTCTTGTATATGCTGAGAGCAACCAGAATTTTCTATGCGGAAAGAAGACGCACTAATTTCCACAATGGAAGAGCGGATGGTAAAGGTGATGGAATGGGCAGAAATGGCAAAACGGACTGCTTTAATTAGAAGAATTGATCTCCTTTTGTTTCTAGAAACACAGGGCTGGAAGGGACCTTGGAGGTCTTCTAGTCCAACCCCCTGCCCTTATTTGATATGGAAACCACTTCGGTTTTGCTCAAAACTGAAAAAAAGAAAAAAGAAACGTCAATTTTAGGTTTCGGTGATGGGAATGATTTTGTTCTTACAGAAACGGATTTGGAATGTAGTCAAATGTAAAGCAAAACGCTGAGGTTGCATTCCTTTTTTCTTGTACACTTCTGCACTGAAAAAAGTGGGATGTTACGCCTTTTTTTTCTTTGCACCTTTCTCCTCCTTTCTTTCACCTTTCTAAGTCTTGTTTTCTTTCGTATTTTTATCTCATAATAAAAATGATTTTTTTTAAAAATAACATTTTTTTTTAATAGAACAGAACATGGGTGTCAAACTCGCGATGTCACATTGTTGTCACGTGACTTCCCGCCCTTGCTAAACCGGGGGTGAGCATGGCCAGTGTGTGACGCATTTGTCTTTGTGGGCTATGAGTTTGACACCCCTGGAATAGAACAACAGAGTGGGAAGGGACTTTGGAGGTCTTCTAGATCAACCCCCTACTTATACAGAAGACCCTATACCAGGGGTCTTCAAAACTTAGCTTTAAGACTTGTGGACTTCAACTGCCAGAATTCCTCCTCTGGTCCTGTTAGCTCAGGAATTCTGGGAGTTGAAGCCCACACGTCTTAAACTTGCCAAGTTTGAAGAGCCTTACCTTATACCATTCCAGAAAAGTGGCTGTCCATGAAGCACCCACAACTTCTAGTGGTAAGCCGTTCCAATGGTTGTTTTCACTGTAAGGAAGCTGCTCCTTCATTCTACTGTAGGTTGCTTCTCTTCTTGTTTAATTTCCATCCATTGTTCTTTGTCCTGCCTTCTGGTCCTTGGAAAATAGCTTGACTCCCTCTTCTTTGGGGCAGCCCCTGAGATATTGGAACACTGCTATCATATCACCCCATGTCCTTCTTTTCATTAGACTAGAATGACCCAATTCCTGCAACTATTCTTCCTTTTATTTCTAGTCTTAATCCTGTTCCTTTAATACCAGCCAACATGCAGCAATTAAACTAAAGTTTTCCCAGTGAACAAACTCAAGTGTTTCTCTAGAGAAATGTGTGTGTTTGTGTGCCTGCACACACGGGTTGGGTGACTGCAAAAGGGATCAGAGCAGAGGTGGTCTTCAGCAGGTTCTGACCAGTTCTGGAGAACCCGTAGCAGAAATTTTGAGTAGTCCAGAGAACCGGCAAATTCCACCTCTGACTGGTCATGCCCCCATCTGTTTTCCGCTTCTCATTGAGTCCCAGTTGCTGGGCTGGGTCTTCTTTGGTTGCCCTGCACAGGAGAACGGAGCTGGAAAGCAGGTTAGCAGGGTGGGGAGGGAATGGGGATTTTGCAGTAACTTCCTCTAGGAGTGGGGAGGGAATGGGGGTTTTAGTATCCTTCCCCTGCCACGCCCACCAAACCACGCCCGACACACCATGCCACACCAACCAAGCCATGCCCACAGAACCAGCAATACATTTTTTTGAATCCCACCACTGGATCAGAGCCACAGCAGAATGGCAACTTACAAACCCGGATCTCAATTTTTCCTGCCAGCAGTTGCTGTCAGGAGAAGGGATTTGACATGGACAACGCTATTTCTTTCTTGGCAGGAACCTGATTTGCACACACGCTAAAATGGAAAGGAAAAGCCATTTCATCCTAAGACCACAACATGTATTTTTTTTTTTCCTCTACCTGCATTCGGCTAGACAGTCCAAAGCACGTTCAAATATTAACATTTTAGCCTCACATCTTTCTGTGAGATGGGCTAAAGGCTTTTTTTCTTTTTTAATTTGCAGAGAGGTTTGTGCATTTAAATGTGACAGAGGGAAGATCATCAGGGTTCTCTGGAGCTCCCTGTCCATTTCCTTGGCTCTTCCTCTTCTCCACAATCCTCTCAAGAAAAAATCACGCAGCTCTTTCCTCTTGCTTTTTTCCAACACCTGGGGGGACAGAACCGGTACAACCGATGATGCCAACGACACCAGTTTGTGCTTTGCCCCTTCGGTCTCGCAATTCACACGGCAGTTGTTTTTTTTTTAAACACCTTGCAATGTCCTCCAGAGTTGGAGAGGCAGGGTGGGAATCTTTTATCTCCTGCGAAAGACCTGCTGTTTGGCGTTTTTCACCCGCTGCTCTTCCTTCAGGTTCATCTGTCGGACTTGTTTGCTGGAGATGGTCTCCACGTGATCCAAAGGAAACCAGCCTCTCTCTCCGTCTGAGAGCTTCACGCCTTCACGCCAGCCTGCAGAGAGATCGAAAGCAGGTGGTTGGGAGAACGCACATCGCGACGTTATCCTAAAAATTAAGTGCCTTGATGCGCACGTCCCCCTGATGTAAAGGATGGCTCTCTTTACCTGGTCAATACTCCTAATACACACAGGAATTTCATTGCCTTGTTGCACACCTGCCTAGCGGAATCCCCAATAACATCACTTACATGGCCAAACTTTTTGGGCTCCTGTGTCAAAAATTGCCCATGAGCCAGCGTGTACGCACTCGTGTGCCAGCACCCAGAATGCAATGCACAGCCCCCCTCCCCATGCCCCCTGTGCATGGACGCGCAATTCCTCACCACCCCCTTACATGCACTGAGCCTTACAGCTGATTTTTTGGCTGGTTTGTGGCCTTTTTTGGCCTCCCAGCAGCTTGGAAAAAGCCTCTGCATGGCTTTTCAGGATGAATTATAGGCCCATTTCATCACTTCCGGTATTACAGGAAGTGACAAAACAGGCCTATTATTCGACCTGAAAAGCCTTGCAGAGGCTTTTTCCATGCCTCTGAGAAGCAGAAAAAGGCCTCAAACCAACCGGAAAAATAAATCAGTGTGAAGCGCGCTCATGCGCAGTGAGGTAAGTTTGCCTCTGGCTCGGGTGCCAGCATAAGTGCCTCTGCATGCCACTTGTGGCACGCATGCCATAGATTTGCCATCATGGACCTACGTCAATGATGCAAACTTTGGGAGTCTACCTGCAGACAAGCTTCAGATGGCCTGTTGTGACCCAGCTCTCCAAACACGACAAACCCTCTGATGTGAACTCAAAAGATTCCTTTATTAGGAATGCTGGCAGCCCTGGCAAAAAGTTTCCCTTGTAGGCTAACAAGTCCATCTGACAGGAAGATGAATAGTTGTCTGCCACACCTATTCATTTCCTCCCCTGCCTTTTATCCCCAGAGCTAGGGTGGGACTTTGCTAGCAATGGTGGCATTTCCACCCCAAGGACTGGCCCATAGATTTCCACTGCTCTCCTTTCCTCTGCCTTCTGTGCATCTGTGCATCAGGCACTGGACCCAGCTGTTCCTCCTCTTCCACATCAGCCACCTCCAAGACCTGGCTCTTCCGTCCCAAGGACCAGCCCATAGGTTTCCACTGCTCTCCTCTCCTCTGCCTTCTGTATATCTGCATGTCAGGTGCTGGACCCAGCTGTTCCTCCTCTTCCACATCAGCCACCTCCAGACCTGGGGAATGTTGACTCCCCATGTGAGGGCTGACAGGCAGCCCAGGCTCCGCCTCTGTCTCTCTCTCTCTCTCTCTGCCAGCTCCATTCCCTCTTCCCCCTCGGAGCTCCCAGACTGCCCTGATGCTTACCCTGAACTCCCACGCTGCCTCCTCCTCCTACTCTGATTTGGCCACTGGAGGGGCCGGCGGCCGACAGGCCACAACATGGCCCACTGCAGGATGAGTCTTGTTCCGCTCTTGCTGCTTTTTGTGCAGAGGAGTTTCCTGTTTCATCTGAACCCTGATGGTGAGTTGTTTTTTTTCTGGGATTAAACGTTAAGTGGACATGATGGCTTGTTCTTGGTTAAGCAGCTCCACCAGTGTCTACGTGAGCCGTGTGAGCTCAAATGCAGTGGTGCTCCAGACTCCTACTCCTTGCTGAGACTTCACAGAGAGGCATAAAGAGGACCCAAGTTTAATCAGCCAGAGACTTAGCTCTCAGGTTGACTGCCCATCTTCTCATGCCGTTCAGCTTACCCTAAGCAGATTCTATCCAGAACTGGACAATTTCTGTGGTCTTTCACTCAATATTTCCCTCAACGCTGTCCAACTACTTATTAAGTCTGCACTATTACTATTAATCTTCTCATCACTCCTATCACCCATCCCCTCCCACTTGTGACTGAGTATATGACTATAACTTGTTGCTTGTATCTTTACGATTTATATTGACTGTTTCCTAGCATGATTTGATTGCTTATTGTATCCTATGACTATCATTAAGTGATGTACCTGATGCTTCTTGATTCTTGACGAATGTATCTTTTCTTTTATGTACACTGAGAGCATTTACACCAAGACAAATTCCTTGTGTGTCCACACTTGGCCAATAAATCAATCAAGCATTCATTCATTCATTCATTCATTCACTCACCATCACTGCTTGACCGCAAGACCATGACGATGTCGGCTTTCTCCAGAGTCAGTTCATCATGCTCTCGGGCCTTGTAAGATTTCACACACTGCACCTGAGGGACATCTGGAAATGTGATGGGATATAGGGATGGTTATATTGGGAAAATTACACCAATTCAAAATGCTTTTTGGTTAATGCAAGCACATTATGAACTCTTTTTACATCACATAATAAAGATGTTTAGGAGTTGAAATGATTGATGCAGAGGAAAATATGTATAATAAGTAAAAGATTTCTGGGATTTCACACCTGGGATTCAATAGTGATGGGCCAGAGTTTTCTGGATTCTGTTTTTCACCAGCTTCAAATCTAAAATTGTGTATCTCTGTCCTTTTGTTTTAATGAAAGTTTCTTTTCAACACCAGTTCTGTCCATAGGAACACAATGGGACAAATTGCCACAGACAATACACTGCAGCCAATTCATCGTGGCCAAAACTCAACCTGGGACAACTTGCTGCAAGACAATTTAACAATTCTATTTCATTATTTAATTATAATTATAATTGCTTATGTAGTATGAATCAATTAATTATAATTACTATTTAATTGAAAAATACATTTTAAAAAATATTTTTATTTTCGTCATTGACATTAAAATTGTGTCCTTTTGCATCCTTTCTTTTAAGGATTCTATTCCACTGTTCCTTTGATATTAATGTCACTTTTCTCCTGAAACAAGTTGGCCATGGTCAATTGGGCGGGACGAGTTGGCTGTGGTTAGTTGGTACGTGGCAAGTTGGCTACGGTGAATTGGCTGCAGCAAGTTCTCATAGACTCCAGGAGGTAACATCATCAGTGCTTGAAGGGTTTGCAACGAGGCAGAGGATGTCTGTGGGGTCCTTGGTCCTCTCTGAGGTTGCTTGCTTTCTTGCAGACATTTCATTGCCCAAGCTAGAAGGGAGTAGGGTGTGTGGAATGGAGGAGGGTAGGGGAAGGGGAGAAGGGGGAGAGAAAGAGGGGGAGGAAGCCTGTGGGGTCAAGAGTGCTCTTTGAGCTTGGTTATTATCTTTCATTACCCAAACTAGGTACCATCATCAGTGCTACCGTGTTTCTCACATAATAAGGCTGGGCCTTATTTTTTTTTGACCCCCGAAAAAACGGCTAGGACGTCTTTTTGGGGGGTGACTTAATTCTCCCCCCTTGCATCCTCGGGTGGGTGGGCGGGCGGCGACAGCTTGGATATTCGGGAGACCTTCGGGTTCGGGCCACCGTTGCTTTCCCTTCTCCCTTGCTGCCGCGGCGTTTGGCGCAGCCACGTGCGGCCAGTCAGGGCTCCTCCCTGCAACCGGAGCCCTGAGGAGACACTTGGCTTCAGGCGATCCCGTCTTCCCTTTGCTTTCGAAGGTAAAGCGAATTATTTTACAAAGCCTCCCCTGCCCGAGAGGGCAGCCCAACCCCACTTGGGGAGGCTAATCTCCCGGGGCCTCTTCCGTTCCTCCCCGACCTCCCTACGCTGCGCGCCTCTGACGCGCCGCTCCCTTCAGCCCAGCGAGCTCTTCCACCTCAAAGAAAGGCCAGGCGGGTGGCTGCCGAGCAGCAGCAGCGGGTCTGAGCCGCTCGCAGCAGAAACAGCCACCACCCGTAGCCCGACGCGGGGAGAACGAGCGAGCTTAGCGCCCGCCAGCCCGGGCGAGATTTGGGAACGAGGGGCAGGAGGCACGCACACACCCGCGGCTCACTTTCCCAGCTTTGCCCAGCCCTTACGGC